AGGAGGCCAGTTTGCTCTTCTGCCTTTGGGCTTCCCCCTGAGCTGACCCCCTCACCTCTGGTTCTCCTGCACAGCTGGGGACAGCACAAAGAGCCTGGCAGAGCTGTGCAGGTGGGCGAGTTTTACTGTCCTCACCTCTGCAGATTTGAGTTTAACTGTGCCTTAATATGTGTGTGTGTGGCTGAACTCCACTGATTTTCTATTCTTTGGGCACCTCTGCACTGGGATGACAGAGGATGCCCAGTCAGGCAGGATGGAGCGACAGGAGGGAGGCAAAGCCTGAGGCTGGGCTGGGCTGGCACTGGTTACAGCTGGAAAGTGCATGCAGAGCTGAGAAAGGGGGGAGGCCAAGAAAAGCCCTTGGCCAGGTCAGCCAGCCCTTGGCTCTCAGGAAAACTTGGAAGTGGGTTAAAAGCATGGAGCTGGGCTGGGATGTGCTCAGACACATGGACAGCAGCTTGCAGGAACACAGATCTCAGGCAAAATATCCAAAGGCTGTACTTACTGAAGGGAAAGGGGGTGGAGAGATTTGTGCCTCAGCTCCTGAGTGTGCCTTACACCTTCCCCTCAGTGCTACGAGACATCAGTGAGCGAGGCAGGGACCTGGAGCAGATCCTGTCTCAGTACATCACCTTCGTCAAGCCTGCCTTCGAGGAGTTCTGCCTGCCGGTGAGTCGGGGGAGTGGCACCCATGAGAGGGCTGGAACAGGAGCACTTTGTGCCCAGAGCTCAGATCAGCTCCCTGGGCCTTCCTCCCTCTCTGCAGGCTCTGGCCGAGGCAGGGGTGCCAGGGCAGGGTGTGATGAGGACTATTTATACAGCCACTGCCTTCCTGGTGAGATCACCCTTCCCTTTGGGAAGGCAGCATGGCCAGAGGAATCCCTCCCTGTGCAAGGGCTGACAAACCACTGGGCAGCTCAGCCTGGCAGGGAAGATCCTTGGCTGTATTTAGCTGGAGAATGGGAGGTTGCTGCCCCCAGGCAGTGTTTGCTGTGTCTGCCTCCTCTTTTGGGCTGTCCTGCCTGCCCTTTTCACCCTGCAGTGCTTGGGAGAGCAGGGGAGCTTCTTCCTTCTGCCTGTGCAGTGGGATGTGGCCCTGCAGGTTGCATTTCCTGGCTGCTGAGTGGCCAGGGGGACAAGGCCTGCCTGGAGAAAGGAAGCTCCTTTGGGAGCTGATAGCAGAGGCAAGGCTCCCTGGCAGACAGGGACTGTGTTGGGGAATTTACTGCAGTCCTGCAGACTTGCATGGAAATGGCACATTTGCAGGATCAGCTATTGTACACCTTTCCTGGCTCTCGTGGAGAGCAGCCTGTGCCTTGCTTCTCAAGGCTTTTCAAGCAGATGTAGTAGTATATGAGGATTTTTTTTATTTTTTTTTTTATTCTGGAGGAAGTGAGCTAGCAGAGTCCTGAAACCTGGGAACTGCTGGCCAGCACCACAGGCAGGAATCAAACTGTGCCTCCTACCTTAGGAGCATCCCTATGACTCTCTATCTGGTCAGCTCTGCCCTTTACATTAAGAGGAGCTGATTCTGCACTACAAGATCTTTTCCTGGCTCTTTCAGAGCTCACTTTTTTCAGTCTCACTCAGCTGTGGCTCTGGGGACCAATTCCAAAGCCCAGAAAGACTTTTCCTGAGAGGCAGGTCCAGCTTGCAAGGCTCCTATTCTTGCAAGTCCCCAGCAAGATGAATCCACAGTTTTTCAAAGCAGCAGATGCTGCATCAGGCTCTTCTGATGAAGAGTCTGTAGGAGAATGAAGTGTGAAACAAGGAGGACACAGAACTGCCTTGCAGTGGTCTGCTCCCACTTCCGACCTGGTGTTGGCTCAACTGCAGGCTCAGCATCCACTGTTGCTGTTATATGACTCCTAAAGCAGCTCTGAGCCAAGTGGTCCAGTACTGAAATGGTCCAGCATATCCTGGTGGTTTTTGATATGTCTGGAAGCACTTGGAGGTGTCAGGTGGCACCTGTCACCCCAGCTAGCTTGGTGGGGCTTGGCTGTCAGCTGTAAAACAGGCAGGAAACTGAGACTGGCACCTGCAGGAGAAACTAGGTCAGGACTGGTGTCCTAAATCACACCTTTACAAGTGATGTGGTAGAGAATTCTCCCCCCTTCCCAGGCAGATCTCGTGGCTGTGCCCAGGCATGCCAGCTCGTGCTCCTGGAGCAAGTCTGGATTGGATTCGGGAGGAGCCATGATCCCAAGAGCATCAGCTGCTGGAGTTCTGTGATTAAGAGGCTCCTTAATTGCAGGTTTTGTTCAGGGTGCCTCTTACTGGCTTTTCATGAAAATGGAATCAGGGCACAAAGCATGGCCCTTGAAACGCAGAGCAGAACACAAATAAGAGCATCCAAAATGTATTATCAGCAACGACATACCCCCCAGAGGATCTGGGGAGGGCAAAGAGCTGCCCCAGGGAGCAGGGACAATGCCCCAGCCCAGGGTCTCTCCACTTTTTCCCTGTAACAAAGTGCTTTCTCTCCTCCCAGACCAAGAAATACGCTGATGTGATCATTCCCAGAGGAGCAGATAATGAAGGTAAGCACCCAGGACCTGTTGCTCTGCCCTGGCAGCCAGCTTTGGGCTGCTGCTGTTGCAGTGGAGTTAGCAGGACCTGCCCCAGAGGGGACTCAGACCACTGCCACCAAGAGAGTGCTGCTACCACAGGTGTGCCAAGATGAGTCTGTTCCCTTTGCTCCTGCTTGGAGCATTATTGACTGGGAGTTCGTGTTCCTGTAGCACCTCCAGGCCAACTCTTGTTTCATCCCACACAAAAGGCAATGTGCAGCTGGGTCAGGCAGGCTGGGGTCAGCCTGAGCATCCTGGCTGGGGTCAGCCTGAGTGTCCTGGCTGGGGTCAGCCTGAGCATCCTGGCTGGGGTCAGCCTGAGTGTCCTGGCTGGGGTCAGCCTGAGCATCCTGGCTGGGGTCAGCCTGAGTGTCCTGGCTGGGGTCAGCCTGAGTGTCCTGGCTGGGGTCAGCCTGAGAATCATGGCTGGATTCAGCCTGAGCGTCCTGGCTGCGGTCAGCCTGAGTGTCCTGGCTGGGGTCAGCCTGAGTGTCCTGGCTGGGGTCAGCCTGAGCATCCAGGCTGGGGTCAGCCTGAGCATCCTGGCTGGATTCAGCCTGAGCATCCTGGCTGGGGTCAGCCTGAGTGTCCTGGCTGGATTCAGCCTGAGTGTCCTGGCTGGATTCAGCCTGAGTGTCCTGGCTGGGGTCAGCCTGAGTGTCCTGGCTGGGGTCAGCCTGAGCATCCTGGCTGGGGTCAGCCTGAGTGTCCTGGCTGGGGTCAGCCTGAGTGTCCTGGCTGGGGTCAGCCTGAGTGTCCTGGCTGGGGTCAGCCTGAGTGTCCTGGCTGGATTCAGCCTGACCATTCTGGCTTGAGAGGCAGAGGGATCAGTCCTGGGGGGATATAGGAAGGGACAGCAGGAGCACAGCCCTGCCTTGTCTCTGCTTGACTTGCAGCCATCCTAACGCAGTCTCTCCCCCTTTTTTGCTCGCAGTGGCCATAAACCTGATAGTGCAGCACATCCAGGACATTCTTAACGGAGGACTCAGCAAACGCCAGAGCAACGGGTACCTGAATGGCTACACTCCCCCACGCCAGCGGCAGCCCTCAGAGTCCAGCAGCCGGCCCCACTGACCCAGGCAGAGGCGTGAGGCCACCACGGCCCCTCTGTACATACTGTCCACTCGTTCCCCCCTTATCTATTTAAGAAACCAGATGGAGACGAATGCCTTTAATTTTGTATGTTGGAGTTGCCGAATGAGAAGCAGCCGGTTGTTCGGGAGCCCGGACCACCCTCAGCTCCTGGCCCTGCTCAATAACTCCTCCAGCATGGAACCGGCTATAAATCTCTATAAATATAGAATTGCTCTATTTTTGCGTAAATGCAGAATAACGTAAAATTACTTGCCGTAAGGTATTTGCCAGGCTCGGTGTTGCTGGGAGGGACTGGGAAAAAAGGGGGTCCTAGGAGGTGTTGGTGTCAGGATCTTCACCTCAGACTCGGTAAGGAAGGAAGAACGGTGCTGGTGTCCATCCTGGGCCTGAGTGTTACACCTGGGTTGGGTTTTGTTTCTTCCTACCACTGCTGTTCAGGTCCAGGCAGCCTGGCTTTGGCTGGCAGGTGCTGCACAGCACTTCTGCCAGCTGGGAGAATGATGTGGAGTGTCACCCCTGTCTCTCTGCAGCTCCAAGTCTCAGCCTTTCAACAGCATCCCATTCTGTGCCTGACACCCCTTCCCACCACAGGTGTGGGGCTGCTGCCACACCTCCAGTGAGCACCTGGAAGGTGGTGCTGGGTACGTGGCCATATAAACACGGCCTTTTTAGCAGTCTCAGTGCCTGGCTGGTGTGGGGACAGCACGTGGATACCGTCAGCCCCTCTGGAGCTTGGTGTCTGTGTCTGGTGGCACTGTTAGTTGACCCTGGGCTGACCTGCCTGGAGGGTGGCTGGCAAGTCAGAGGTGTGTCTCATTCCTCACTTGGATGGGTTTTGCTCTTGTGTGGGGAATTCTGGACTTTATGAGGTATGCTTAAGGGACAAGCAGCCTTTTCTAAAAGAAAGGGGCAATGGCTGATCAAAGGCAGCTGCTGAGCTGCCTTTCTGAAGGGCTCAGCAGTGTAGTGGTCCCTGGGCTGCTTTGCATCTGCATGTGGGACATCCACAGGTCCCATCTGGGTAGTGTGAAAATGGGTGCCCAGCAGTCCTCTGCTCCCTGTTTGCAGAGCATGCTCTTGCCTGTCCTGTGTCCCTTTCACTGACCTGGGGGAGGACACTGTCCTTGCAGTCTGTTGTCCCAAGGGCTGCCCAGGCAGTGCCCTCCCTTGCCTATGGTGAGAGTTAGTCTTGCCTAACCTGGTGGTGCTACAACAGCCATGTCCAGAGGGGCCTTGGTGGGGTGTTACTGCAGATTTAGGGATGCCTGGAGAGGCCTCTGCAAGATGGGGCAGTGTGACTGGGGCAGGGGCTTGGTGGGAGCCAATGGAGGGGGGTTGGTGGGATGGTAGCCAGCAAGATCCTTTGGCCAGTGTTGCTAGGACTTGACTTGCCCTACCAAACCCAAAATTTCACAGGCATCCCACAAAGCTTGGAGCAGACACCCTTAGCCTTGCTCCCTCGTGGTTCTTTCACTCTTTCCAGAGCATTGGTTTTGCTCTGTGATTAAGAGTTCAATGGACCATGCTCCATTGCTCTCCAGCCTGATGTGAGCTGGGACAAGCTTTGGTCTTGGAGAGAACAAGAAAGGAAACACCTTCCCCCAGTGACTGCTGCTGGGGCAGACTCATTCCTTCTTGCTCTGTGATGAGGCAGCCTTTTATCCCTTTCCCTGTGTGCCTGCACTCCTCCAGGCACTTCAGCTTTGCCACGACCAAGGGCTGATTCTGTGTAGGTAAGAGGGACCAAAGCTCTGCAGAACTGGTGAGGCTTCTCAGGCCTCATGCAGAAGACAAGATAAAACACTGGCCTCCTCTCCCTGGTGAATAAAGACAGAATAAATGGATGCTGGTGTTGTCTCCTATTTGGTGCTGCACGGTGCTGACTGCAGTCCCAGTTGGCAGATTTGGCCAACCTTGTCTTAGTTCTGCAAGTCTAAGCCAGACCTGGAGCAAAGCTGCTGGAACAGATCAGCCCCTTGGTGAAGGAGGAGGCAGCATCTCTGGCTTTTGGCTGGTCCCCTGCACCGTAAGGCCCCAAAAAACTCACCTGACAAGGCTTTTAAAAGAGCTGGTGGTTGTTGATGTGCTCTGTGTTAGAGCACAGCAGAAATACTGACAAGGTACTCTCAAGAGGTCAAAACAACCAAAAAGACCTTGCTGGCAAATTTAGAAAATCTGAGAACTTTGGCTAAAGGTTTAGAGTAGCACACACTAGACATAAAACACTTGGAGCATTAAATTGGCCCATTCAACTTGGCAAACTTTTAAGCCCATTCCATTTTAAATTGATCATGACTTCCAAGAGGAGGGAATTAAAGAAGAAAGCAAGAAAATATAGAGAAAAGGACATGTATAGCTACCCTCTCCTGTGTTCCAGAGGTGTTTCAAGTGATGAAAACTCCAAGAGGATATAGGGTCAAGATCTGTGCTCACCTCCAGTTCAGCTTTAGGTACTCCTTAGCCTTCCTGGGCCATTGACCCAGGTGAGTTTTCCAGTCATTTGCCCACTGGGGACCTTGGCTGGGGCTCCAGGGGCAGGTGTGGAGCATTGCCTCTGCTGTGCCAGGGATTGGCAGCCACTGCAGGGCTGGGATACAGGCTCTGGGGATTGGGGATGTGCAGAGCAGGGCATTACCTCCCAGGGCAAGGCCTGACCTGCCCCTTTCCCCACATGCATGCACCCCAAAATGTCTCAAGACATCAATCTGTCACACTCACTCAGCAAGTCCTGGTGCACTCGTGGCTTGGGGTGCTGTTGCGGAACCCCTCTGCTCTCAGAATAGCAGAGGTGGACAGGTTCAGCCTTTCCCAGTGTCTTGAATAAATGACAGTTGTCAAAAGACCTCCCAGGCAGGGTGGCATTAGCACCAGTGGGGTGTCAGGCAAGGGGGGACTGCTGTTGGCAAAGGGATAAATCAGTTGGTGGCAAAACACTTGATGTCAGCATGGATGCAAAAAGGGGAAGTCGGGCTTAAGCTGATAACCCTCTGAAGGAACAACTGCCTGGGTGGGTGAGGGAAGAGCAGGGCGTGTTGTGTGCCTTGGCTTGAGTCAGGTATTTGATAGGATCTCCTGAAACCTCCTCGTAGTGGTGGTGCATGGACTGGATAAACCCAGAGGTAGATGGAAAACTGGCTGAAAGACTGGTCCCAGACTGTGGTGATCAGTGCTGTGAGGTTTGGTGGAAGACAGTAACTCTGTGACTAGGTCCAGCCCATCTGACACCTTCATGAAGATCTGCAGGAGGGAGAAATGGGCTGACAGAAATGTTTTGATGTTCAGCAAAGGGAATTGCAAAGTCCTGAAGAATGATCCCACGTGCCAGTACATGCTGGGACTTCTGGAATGCACAGGGAAGGCTGTGAGGTTCTGGTTCTTCATTAGCAGAGGGCTAATGGCATCCTGGGCTGCTCTGGGACAAGTGTTGGGTTAGGGGGATGCTTCCCCTCTGCTCAGATGAGGCTGCACCTGAGTGCTGTGTCCAGTTCTGGGCTCCCCAGTACAGGAGCTGCTGGTGAGAGTCCATTGAAGGGTCATGAAGATGATGAAGGGATTGGAAGATCTCTCCTGTGGGGAAAGATTAAGGGATGTGGGATTGTTCAGACTGGAAGAGGCTGAGGGGGAATCCTATTAATGTATAGAAATAACGGAAGGGAGGGTGAAAAGACAGAGCCAGTGGTTGGACATGGACACAACTTGAAAAAGAAGGGGTTTCCTCTGAACATCAGGAAACATCTGCTGGGAGAGTAACGGGGTGCTGGCACAGCTTGTTCAGAAGGGTTGTGCAGTCTCTTTCTTGGAGATATCAAAACTGCAGAAGTTCATGGGCAACTGCTTTGAGACAACCCCCCTGAGCATGGGCTTGGACAAACTGAGCTGCCAGGAGCCTTCTGACCTCAGCCAGTCTGTGAATTTGAAATATTTCTCAGCTGGGAGAGGAGCTTTATCCTTTCTCCTGAGTTTGGCTCTAAGCCATGTCCCTCTTCAAGGAGACTTCCAAACTCCTCCTGCTGCTTTCCTCTGCTAGTGCTGGTGCTGGAGCTCCTGCAGGTAAAGGTGATGCAAAAGCCTGGTGGCCCCAAGCATCAGCATCATGGTTTTGGTCCTGAGCATCACCGCGGTTTTGGCCCTCATCTTGTGCAGTTGGGAACACGGGAAGGTGCACTTTACCTGGCAGTCTGTCCCTGTGGAATGTGAAGCTGGCTGTCCCCATCCCTGGGAATGACAGGGCCAGGCCTTACCTGCACCCCACAAACCTGTCCCTTCCTGTATGACTGGTTTAGATTGCATGCCCATCTCTGTTTTTTTGGCACATTTCTCCAGATGCTGGGGGCAATATGAGCCAGGCCCAGCATGCCCAGAATTTTCTTGGCCCTGCAGAGCAGCCAGGACATGTCCACCTGGGCAAGGACAAGGGGTGGGGGTTTTTGTGCCCCAGGAACAATGGCCTCCTCCTGGAATATGGCACCTGTGGGGTGCCTGCTCCCTCCCACCCCAATTTCCCCATGTCTCCCAGAGCACACACACATTCTGGAAGCTCACAAACAGCAGTCTGGCTGACACCTCTGCCTTTCACACCTCCTCTTCTTTGGATGCCCTTCCTACCAAAAAGACACGTGCCACAGGAACAATAAAACCCATTGATACGAACCTTGCAAGAAGATTCCAAAAGTCGGCTGCTCCTTGCAGGAATTTTGCTGAGTTTCACAGACGTGTCTGATGCACAGGCATGCTCTGTCATGGTTAGGGAGACAGATTCCTGGCCTTTGGGATGCCTGGGTACACATTTGGGAGGGTGGCAGAGGGGACAGGCAGTGGAGGAGCACCAACCACAGGAGTCTTTGGTGGGCTGAGGCACCCTGTTGTCATCCTGGAGGGAATTCACTGCTGTCTGGATGAAAACATTCCAGTTGGCATTGTTATCCAGCCAATTCCAAACATCTGCTCCTCTTCCAGGTGTGATCCTGCCAGCCTTGGAGGTTCTAAGGACTAAGGAACCCAGCAGGCCACGGGCAGGCACTGAGCACTGTCACTTTACAGGGACACGTGGGCAAAATGGTCACCCATGTTAAGAGGAAAGCCAGAAGTTTACAGAATTATGGAATATCCTGAGCTGGAATGGATCCACAAGGATCATCCAAATCCAACTCGTGGCCCTGCACAGAATAACAGAACGGGTGGGGTTGGAAGGGAGCACAGAGGGTCATCTGCTCCCACCTCCCTGCTCAAACTGGGCCATTTCAGAACACGGCCTTGCTTTGTATCCAGGCGGGTCTGGGATATCTGCCCAGGGTGATTCCACAGCCTCTCTGGGCAATCTGTTCCAGTGCTTGATCACTGCACAGTAAACTTCTTCTATTCAGGTGGGACCTCCCATGTATCTCCTCCCAGTGGCTGGCACCACTAAGAGCATCTTGGCATCTCCCCTTTAGATATTTATACGCATTAAAGAGGTCTCCTCATGCACAGGGCAGCCCCAGAATCACACCAGGCGCCAAGCTGAGGCACATTGAGAAACACATTACTCATGGAGAATGAGAAGTGCTGTTAATCTGGAATTATTGGGAAGTGATTGTCCCTTTGTACTCAGCGTTGGTGAGGCTGCACCTTGAGTGTGCGTTCAGTTCTGGGCCCCCCTCTTTAAAAAAGGACATTGAGGTGCTGGAGTGTGTCCAGGAACGGCAGCAAGGCTCATGAAGGGTCTGTAAAAGGCGTGAGGAGCTGGAGGTGTTTAGCCAGGAGAAGAGGAGGCTCAGGGAAGAGCTCATCGCTATCACCCACCCGACAGGAGGGTGCAGCCAGGTGGGCTCGGTCTCTTCCCATGGGAGGAGAAGAGGAAATGGCCCGGCTGAGACGGCAGTTCAGATTAGATATTAAAACAAAACAAACCCCAAAACCACCAAAAAACACCATCAGGATGCTCAGGCGTTGGAACAGGCTGCCCAGGGAGCTGTTGGAGTCGGTGTTTGAAAGGCGCTGCTTCCATGGGCAGCGCTGGGTGCACGCCTGGGCTCGGTATCACCTCAAAGCTCCCTTCCAACGCCGACAAGTCCGATTCCCCGGAGCCCCCGCGGGGCGCGGTGGCTCTGCCCGCTCGCTGAGGGCTCGGCACGGGCTGCACCTCACGGCGGGGCCGGGCCGTGCTGCGGAGGACGGCTCTGCCCGCTCGCTGAGGGCTCGGCACGGGCTGCACCTCACGGCCGGGCCGGGCCGTGCTGCGGAGGACGGCTCTGCCCGCTCGCTGAGGGCTCGGCACGGGCTGCACCTCACGGCAGGGCCGGGCCGGGCCGGGCCGTGCTGCGGAGGGCGGCTCTGCCCGCTCGCTGAGGGCTTGGCACGGGCTGCGCCTCACGGCGGGGCCGGGCCGGGCTGCGGAGGGCGGCTCTGCCCGCTCGCTGAGGGCTCGGCACGGGCTGCACCTCACGGCAGGGCCGGGCCGGGCCGGGCCGTGCTGCGGAGGGCGGCTCTGCCCGCTCGCTGAGGGCTCGGCACGGGCTGCGCCTCACGGCGGGGCCGGGCCGTGCTGCGGAGGGCGGCTCCGGGGGCGGAAGGGGCGGGCACGGCGTGGCAGCGGTTGGCGGGGCCGGGCCGCTTCCTGCGGCTGAGGCGGCGCTGCGGGACCGCGGCTCGGCGGTGCGAGGAGCCCGCGCCCGGCGTGAGTGAGGCGGCTCGGCGGGCCGGGGCGCGGGGTGGGCCGGGCAGCGCTGCCCGGGCACCGCCGCGGCCTCTGGGGCAGCGTGGGCTCCGCGGCTCGGCACGGCTCGGCACGGCTCGGGGTGGCCCTCCGGCCGGGCCCGGTGCCCGTCCCGCAGGAGCTGCGGCCGGCAGAGCCGAGTTGTGCCGCGGGTGCAGGGCTGGCACAGCCGCCCCTGAGCCTGTTGCTGCCCCGCGGACAGCGCGGTTTAAATGTCTTTATTTTGTGCGTATGTGTGTGTGTGTGTGTGTGTGTGTTTTCCCCTCCTCCCCGGCTTTTAACGTGGGTTTTAGGGGATTAAATCTGATGCAATCGGGGGGCTAAGAATAGCCTGGCGCACGTTCCCTGGCGTGTGCGGGGCGCTCCGGGCCGCGCACACGGGACAGCCCCGGCGGGATGCGGCGGTGCTCGCTGCCCCGGCTGCTCGCTCGGAATTGCTGTGCGGTGCCCTAACCAGGAGGGATTGCCTGTCTTTATTTGCAGGGAGCTGTGAACCTGAGTAATTTGCAAGTGTGGCAGACGGCAAGTCTGAGCTTATTCTTCATTAGCTAGCACCGCTTGTGTGTCTGGGATAATGCTCCTTGAAAGTGCTGCCTGTAAAGGTTCTTCTTCACGTAGCCAAACAGAGCTCTAACAGTTCTGTAGTTCAATTTAAATTATGCCAAAAATATTTTGCTTATTGTTGGATGCAGGGTTCCAGTCTGACAGTCTTCCGAAAATGGTCTTGCTCTTCCTAAATTTAATTTTATTTTTTGTCTTGTGAGTGCTACTTGTGTTTATTTTAAGGTTTAATTAATTCCTATTCTGTCATTGCTTTTCTCATAGTTCAGCGGTTTCCCCTTTCTAGCTCCGTTTCTGGAGGGGTAGAAGCCTGTGACTATCAGTGTGGAAGCAGAACACCTTTCTGTTCTTTTAATAGAATTATTTTTACAAAAAGTTAGGCTTATTGCTTTGGATAATAATTGAATTAAATGTATTCCTAAGTGAATAGCTGTCAAAAATTAAATTGGGGCAAGCTATGCCCTTGTAGAAAGGGTTAATTTACATTAGAATTAGAAGTTAGTGGTTGAATATGAAAGGCCTGTGCAGTTTGCCACTGTTATTACTATCAGAAAAGGAATATTTGGAATGGAAGTGTGGTGAGCATCAGGCAGCATCATTCATCTTTGCAGATGTAGTAGCATTATTAGCATCCCTCTTACCTCTGGGGCGCAGTTATCTTCAATTTCCAGACACAAGTTTTATCTTCTATCAAATTCTGGTTCTGCAGTGTAGCTGGTGAGCAGCGCTGTGCTGTTTATTAGGTGCCAGCCTGCCTTAAATCTCTGCTAAATGTGTGAGGGAGAGATACCTCCTGGCTCCGAGCAAGAAGTGACAGTGAGCACCCTGGCACTTCAGATATTTTTCCCTTTGGTAGAATAGTTTTAAGGATTCAGGGAGGCAGGCAGTTTGCTGACTTTATAATGTGTGTTCTGTTTGGTAAGGAATCTTTGTGCAGCCGTGGTGGAAATATTTTTAATGTTGGTGGTGTTTTCTTCTGCTTTATTTTCTGCAGTCCAGGTGTTGTTAATCTGGGCTCTGAATTTATAACTGGATAAGCGCTCAAAGGCACATTAGTACGTGGTTGTGGGCAACTCTGTTCTCTTAGAGGGAGACTGAAGAGCGGAAAGAAGGTTCTTTTGATTTGGAAATTCTTGGCTTTCTTATTTTTTACAGAGAAGGAGTAACTGAGAGGTGTTTTAAAAGATTTTATTCTATTATCAGTGTCAATGAATAGTGAGACACAAGAGATGTAAAACTTAATCCCATTCCATCAAATACCAAAAGGATATTAGCTCATTTGTAGAGACAGAGCCTAGCAAAGCATTCCCTCAAAAATGAAAAGTAACCCATAGGAAATCACTTTTTTTCTCTCTTTTTTTTTTTCCCTGTTGGATCAGGTCTTGAAGTGTAGAGTGAAGGTTTCTCTTCACGGTGCATGGACGGAAAGCCAATGCGCAGGTAAGACACAAAAACAATTGTTCTTCTCTTCCCCAAATAGGATAAATCATGTCAGTTGGTTTTCTACGTGTCTGGACTGTAAAATGTTGTGTGGTTTTGGGTTTCTTTTAAAAAGCCCGGCTATGGGGAATTGGGAAATAAATCATTCCTCTTTAGTCCTTTCTTAAATGTATTTAGTTTTCAATATTTACGAGACCAGATGTCATTAATGAAGAGTATAGAAGACAAGTCACAGTAATTCTTCATCCCCTGTTCCTCTTCCCCCATTTACTGTGATATTTGAAATTCAGTATTTAATTACTTAGGTATTCAAACTGTGGAAAATAAACTGCCTAGGAATAAATTTAAACTTGGTTTCCAAAGGGCATTATTTTTCCCTTAAGGAAAGGAGTTTGGTGAGGTCTTGGGTGAAAAGGAGATTTCATTTTCTAATTATGGATGCCAGCTGCCTCAGTTCTAATGAGCTGTAGATGCAGCTTAAGTTTAATTCAGGGGAGTTCTTGCTGTGGTTGTGTCAAAAACATTCTCTCTCATATAGGGAAAAGTTGTCACAGTAGTTCAGCACAATGACAGGTTTGCAAACAGGGTTCCCTGCTAGCTCTTGTTGATTTTCCTTGCTTGGTGGCAATCCCACAGCAAAATTTAACAGCAGATGCATTTCTGTATATGATCCAGGCTGTGTGGAAGCAAAGTTGCCTGAAGTTCTTCACCTCTGAATGAATTGGAGAGAACTCATGCAGCTTGCTTGGTCTCTTTGTGCTCTTTGGGATGTTGAAAGAAGGAAAACTATTGTGGGTAAATCTGTAAACACTCACGTAAGGGAAGGCAAGGCTTTTAACCATAGATGAATATATGGAGCATTCTAAGCCACAGAAACCATTAGCCTGGGTTCTGTGTAAGGAGGCAAATAGTAAGTAGTCACTTAAACCCTTGAAGAATGGCACAATGCTGTTTTAATTAAATGAATTTTAATGAAGTTAATTTGTTGTGCCGCTGCTGCAGTTCAGCAGTGAGTAAGCATGGGATATGACAGAGGCATTTCTGTGCTGCATTTTTGCCAAGATAAGAAGTGTGGTTTGGTCAATAAGGAGCTGTATGTGACTTTTGCAGTGAATTCCTTTTCCTCCAAGATGGGTTAAATAACAGATGAGCTCTCTTTAATCATAGCCTTCTTCAGTGGAGATTGTTTAAATCTTAACCAGCTTTTTAGGTTTTGATGTTGTGCTCCGTTTATCAAGATGTTTTTGCAGAATGATGTAAAATTGGTGACTAGCTTGGCTTGTGTTCTTGTTTTCTCCCTACATTTTGTGTTCCTGATGGGGAAATTGAGGTTCTAAAGTTGTTTCTGTGCCTGTTGTTTTCTGTGTCACACTGAGGCAGAGAATTCACATGCTGGAGTTTGTGTGTCTGTGGGTCTGTGGTCTTGGACTTGCTATTGTGGAAGTTCTGGCTGCCACTCACTTTTAGTTTTTGTGGTGGGCAGCAGCACAGAGCTGAAGAAGTGGAGGTGTTTTATTATTGCTGCAGACAATTGCCTGACAAGCACATCTCTGCTCTGAGCTGTGGACTTCAGGTCTGGAATACACTTGCCTGCTTTAAGGGCCTCAGTGTGGGTTGTTAAAATTTCTGTTTGTTCTTCTCCTATTGCCTGTCTTAGCAGAAAATGATAAAAGGTTCCTGATTGGATTTTGGGCACAGATCTTCCTATGAACTCCAGCTATGCAGATGGCAGAGCACTTTCTTTTATCCTTTTACTCAGGACTCTGGAGCCAATTTAACACCCTCACATGAGGGTTGTGGTAGGTCCTGCACGAAGAGGGGAGTGGGGCTTGGCCAGTAGCGGGTTAATACACACAGTGAGATGGTATCAAACGTGTACAGCATTCAGAGGGGAGGAGGGACAGCTTGAACAGACAAGGAATTCCAGCTATTCCTGTCAAGATTATAGCAGGGAACGCAGAATTACTGCTGCAAACAGGATTTACCCTGCATTAGGAATTAAGGGGTGGTTGGGGCAGGCTGTTCTTGCTCATTCTCAGCAAGAGAATGTGGCTTTGCTGAAGGGAAAAACAAAGCAGCAGGGACCTCTGAGTGAAGAGCATGGTCCCACAGCACCCAGATGAGGAGGGCAGAGCAGATCTGATGGCCAAGGCCAGACAGGAGTCCTGGACTCCTCGGGCAAGTAGGGGTGAGGAAGGGAGCAGGGAAATCAGCTCAGAATGGGTGGGTGCACAGTCAGATGCAGAGATACCTTCAACACAGCTCAGGCATGGGGGCTTGAGCAGCTCCCAGACAAACTGGGGAAGCTCTCCCAGCTCTTCCTCACCCAGCCTTTTCCCATCTTACAGCAGTGCTGGATCAGAGCAGGTTTGACCAGCCAGACCTGGCAGGAGGAAAGAGGCTTCAGATCCTGATCGTGCACTCAGGAGCTTATCCAACTACCTGGACACAGCTCTTGCCCAAACAAACTACAGAAGGCTCAGGAAGGTTTTGGAAGACTCCAGTAATGACCTTCTCTTTCAGAGTATGGGCGTCCTCAGTTTCACCCTGGCTGGGATGTTTTAATCAGTCAGGATGAAACTGAATTTTCTGGGCTTGGTCAGTAAAATTCAAACCAAGCAATATAAATAGGGGCAAACACACCAGATCCTTGCTGTTTTCCTTTTGTGTAACATAAAATAGTATCTCAGGTTTATCTGCTTGTTTGCATACCTTTGTTGAGAAAGCTTATTGAAAC